GAGAGAGAGAGAATTTTTAATATTTATTTTTTTTTTAGTTCTCGGCAGACACAACATCTTTGTTGGTATGTGGTGCTGAGGATCGAACCCGGGCCACACGCATGCCAGGCGAGCGCGCTACCGCTTGAGCCACATCCCCAGCCCCCTGTTGGATATTTCTCAACAAATATTCTGTTAATACCTTAAATTCAGCATTTCTGCAGTTAAATTCATTATTTTATTTACTATATATTTTTCTTACCAGTTTTCTCTTTTTGATTCCCGTTTTTTTTTTAAATCAGCAATGTTACCATTTTGCTGCTGTTGTCTTAATAAAGTTAATTTTGTTTGGAGAATTTTCTGTCAATTCTTGTGATTATGGATAAGCCCAGAGTCTCAGAATGTCAAGTTTGGAATTTGTTGGTTTGTATTTGGTTTTTACTGATAATGTTTCAATATTAATAATAACTGTACTTATATTGTGACTTTACAGATATAAATTCTTTTCATTTTCTTCACATTTGGAGATAAGCAGGCCAGCTATGTCTCTCATAGATGAGAAAAGTTCACTGAGGGGAAACTGGCCTCTCTCTTCCCAGTTCACTCGCTGCTCTTCTTAGCAACCAGGCTTGCCATATTAATGTCATATTAATGTCAGAGATCTAAGAAATGGTAAGCATCTTGGAGATGCTGGCAATAGTCTGTGGACCTGTGTCAGTATACAAACTGTTTGTTACTGGTGTGTGACAAGATAAGTATGGAAATTATGAGTAAGCTTTTGAAGCTTCTTTATAATCTCATAACATGCCTCAACATCTAGTGCATCTTTCCACAATGAACTGGAGGGGCACTGATTTAGCTCGTCCTTCCTCAAGAAATAGTGTCTTTGAAATAACTGTTGTGTTGAGTGATGATCTACCCAAGCTTTGCCTTCCCTGGAAGACCCTTATCAGCCCTTTCTTTTTTCTTTCTTTTTTACCAATTGCCCTTCCATTCTCTATTATGCAGATTCATAGTCATTAAGTCACCCTTAAGTTTCTTATTCTTCATATCCAGTTGCCAAGTTAATTCTTTTCTGATAATGGCCCTTATGTGTGTTTTTCTTTCCGTTATGTGTCTTGTCTCTTATTTTCATCATTCCCCAGTCTTTGAGGAGTTTGTTGTTGACTCTGAAATTTGTGCTTTTTACCTCAGTGGACTGATGGTGTAGCTTAGTCATAGAGCACTTGCCAAGCATGTGTAAGGCCCTTATCCCCAGCACCCCAGAGTTCCTTTTTTCCTTTTATCTGAAATGGGATTCATTTTCTTCTCCAAATCTGCTCTTGATCCAGTTCCTTATTTCATAAATGGTACCACTATCCTTCCCTAGCCCTAATGGGAACAGCTGTCTTCCTTTCCCAGTTTGTCTTTTCTGCTCACATATTACCACTCACGTTCTCCATGGTGCTGCCCTTATTATCTCTTACCTGGAGTTTGCTAATAGTTTTCTAATTGCTCTCTTCTTTTTCTTCCTCTGATTATTCTGTATCTGCTAGCACTGTAATCTTTCTCATGCACATCTCTATTATATTGATACCCATTTTTTAAAAATCTACATAGATTCTTCATTGTCTGTGAAATAAAGGTTAAACTCTTTCATCTGGCATTTAGATTTATAAAATTTTACCAACCTTCACTTCACAGCACGTCCTATACCTTCGCCAAACCAAGCTCCTTAGTATTACAGTTTTCAGTTGTCTCTGTACCGTGGCTTAAAGTGTTTATCCTTATTGATGAGCCTTTTTTCCTTTTCTCCACATCTTCAACTTCTTCCCTGTCTTCAAGATCCAGCTCTGTTGTTATCTCTTCTTCAGGGCTTTTCCTGCAGGACTCTTTCTTGTGAACTTTTGTAGCACATTATCTATATTTCTCATGGACTTAACTGTTATTTATCTTGTATTAAAGGTGTTTGTAGCACTTACCAGCCCTACCTGAACCCCAAATATAGATCTGCTGAGATTCTGGGGAACAATTTTAAATGAAAGATTCTTGGGCCTGCCCCATGGAGATTCTGGTTTAGTTAATCAGTGTAGGTCTTGGGAATCTGAAGTTTTAAGATGCTCCTAGGATTTTCTAATTTGTTTTCAAATATTTGAATTGTTGATCTGTGTGCCTTGCTGTTTGCATCATCACTTTTAGCTTCTTGAATTATTTAACTTTGGAATGTGTTATCTTGTCTGAATTACATTGCAGGCTCTTCTTCAAAACTTTATTTTCTCTTCTATAGTACTCAACATAATAGACACTCCTAACAGAAGTTTGAAGAATAGCCTGTTACATGTCATTTTGGGGGGGGTGGAGAATAATAGCACTTTAAACAAGAGAAATCAAGCAATGATTTACAGATTAGTAAGATAATATATAGTCTATGGCGTCACATGTATGGCATTTATGTTAAGATAGAAGAGAAATAAAATAACAGGTTAATCTTTAGGTCTTGTGCATTATTCCTAACAATAAATAAAGTGAACAGTTTAACCTTGCTGATGGTAGATAATGTTAACTAATCATAGCATTGTTTCTTATTAAGCCTAGATGTGCTCAGCCTCCTTTCCAAATAATACTTCAGTAGGGATCACCTTTCAATCACATTAGTGTATGATGAGAAAATGTGTGTTTTGTCTCTTGTGTATGAAATGCCATTTAGGATACCTGTAGTTAAAACTGTAGAATTAATGTGATCCCTACAATCAAAGTTTTTTGCACGGTACTATGGATTGAATTTAGTTAAGAGCACTGAGCTACAATCCCAGCCTTTTTTTGTTGTTGTTGCTGGTGATTGAACCTAAGGCCTTGTGCGTGCAAGGCAAGCACTTTACCAACTGCACTATATATCTCCCCAGCTCCCGATTCCTAGCCTTTTTATTCTGAGACAAAGTGACTGGCTAAGTTGACCAAGCTGGCCTCAAACTTGGAATCCTTTTACTTCAACCTCTCAAGTTACTGGGATTGCAGGTGTGCATCAGGATGCCTGGCCTCAGAATTCTTTAAGTACTTAGCAAGAAAAGGTAGTTAAAACCAGAATGTCTTAAAAGGGCAGTTCCTAGGTAATATACTATTGGAATTCACTGCTCTATTTCTGATATGACTGATCTATCTTTTATTGAGTTGTGCTGTCATTTATTCAGTTTTTAGTAAGAAAAGGTAAAGAAGTGGTTTTCTCTGTGAGTCCCTATTCATTTAAAATTCAGAAAGTCCCGGGCATTATGTGTCTAATGATGACATGCTAAGAAGGGTAAGCGTCTTTTAAAGCCCTGGATTGTCTCTGCTGCCTTGTGTTGAGTTGAAATAGTATTTTCAGTTCTATTGAAATCTCATGCTCTAATTTTCTTAACCACTTACTCACTTGCCACCAAGGTTTTAACCCTGTTCATTAGCCCCCCTTCCTTATTCTCATTTCCCCTTTCTAAAATGAGCTTAATGTGTAATTGTTTTTTTACTTCTCTCCTTGCACTTTCCAGGCCAGATGACGATGATGCGGAGAGTAGGAGCTCCAGGGTGACCCAACTTTGCACTTACTTTCAGCAGAAATATAAGCACCTCTGCCGCCTGGAAAGGGCAGAATCTCGTCAAAAGAAATGCCGTCATACATTTAGGAAAGCATTGCTGCAGGCAGCCAGTAAAGAACCGGAATGTACTGGTCAGTTAATACAAGAACTTCGGAGAGCAGCATGCACTAGAACCAGGTTAGAGCCACACAGAGCCACTTGTTCTAAGGAACTTGTCTCAGTTTGTATTTTGTTTTCTGTATTTTTGGAGAGGATGGTTAAGGCACAATGACCATTTAGACCTAAAATATTTGAGACTGCATTTTGGTTTTGTTGTTCCGGAAAAAAGCACCACACAGGTGACAGAATAGTACTGCCATGTACTGATACGATAGTAAAAGCATTACTGAAGTTTTGGCTGGAATTTAATTACAGTTTATTTTTAGAAGGTTGAGAATATTATCTATTTTAGTGCTAAAAAATTTCATGTTATTTGAAAGTAATATAGTTTTTTTAATAACAAAAGAAAAATGTGTTTTATTAAAAGGACATGTTTTTTTTTTGCTTGTATTATTTAAGATGTTTCTTTTCCATGTATTTCATATAACTACCCCACCTAATATGTGTTCAGTTTTCTTTCATTCATTCACTCTTTGTTGTTGTTGCTGTTTATTTATTTATTTGTTTAATAAAATACTTATTTATTTTTATGTGGTGTTGAGGATCCAACCCAGCATCTTGCACATGCTAGGTGAGAGTTCTACCGATGAGCCCCAACCCCAGCCCAAGATGTTTTTTCTTTTCTTTTTTTTTTTTTAAAGAGAGAGTGAGAGAAGGAGAAGGGGAGAGAGAATTTTTTTAATATTTATTTTTTACAAACAAACATCTTTGTTTGTATGTGGTGCTGAGGATCGAACTCGGGCCACACGCATGCCAGGCGACTGCGCTACCGCTTGAGCCATATCCCCAGCCCAGTGTTTATTTTTTTATATGGTGCTGATGATTGAACTCAGTGCCTCACACATTCGAGGCAAGTTACTCTACCACTGAGCTACAACCCCAGCCCTCACTCATTATGTTTTAGTGGTACTGGGAATTGAACCCAGGGGTGCTCCACCATTGAACTATATCCTCAGATCGTTCCTACTTTTTATTTTGAGACAGGATCTCACTAAGTTGCCCAAGTTGGCCTCAAACTTGTGATCCTTCTGTCTTAATCTCCTGAGTATGCTTTGCCCAACATGTTCAACATATTTTATTACATTGCATTTCTTTAGGGGGAAGAAACAGCTCTTCTGTTTGTAATGCAGATGCTTGTTTATTGAGTAAAATTTGGAAAAATACAGAAAAAAGAAAGGGGAAATCTCCATAGCTCCATTGATATAACTGAATAAGCACTGTAAACATTATTCTTCTTTTCCACTCTTATCTTTTTTTTTTCCTTTGTTGGTTTTTTTTTTTTTTTTTTAAATTGTTACCAGGAATTGAACCCAGGGGTGTTTAACCACTGAGCCACATCCTTTTTTTAATGTTTATTTTGAGACAGGCTCTTGATAAGTTGCTGAGGCTGGTTTTGAACTTGTGGTCCTCCTGCCTCAGCCTCCTGAGCTACTGGAATTATAGACACGTGCCAATGCACCTGGTTGTCATTGTTGTTCAATCCTCTGTACCACATAAAAATAAAAATAAATAAATAAACAAAGGTATTGTCCTGTCTACAACTAAAAATTTATTTTAAAAAAGGATTGTTTTAAAGTCTAGGAGACCTAAGTCTTTATTGAGTTTACTATTTCACACTTCTCAGTGTTACATTTTCAAATGACAACGTTGAGTATATATGTGTAGAAAAAGATTAGGGGTTTGTATATTGAAATGTCTCTAACTGGTGGGTTATTGATAAAGTGAAGAAAAAATATTCTAATTTTTTAATAGTATTTATGAGTTACTTGAATAAATCTCTCATGCTAGACAGTAATTTCCATGAGTGCAGGATGTAGGTCCATTTAGTTCTTGTATCTCCAGAGTTGTTCAAAGAATGAATATTATTGAATATATGAAGGTCTGTTTATTCACTCAGTTTGACAGAGATTGTAAAATAATGATATCAAATGTGTTAGATGGTATATTGCTCTCAAGTGTATAATTTCAAGAAAGTGTAGCTATATGCAGCATAATACAATTTACATATAAATATTATATACATCAAGTCACATTGTTATGATATTGTCAGAGATGTATAAGTTTGCACATTAATAATGATTGGGACAATTTGGTATTTATGTGGAAGACTATTTTATCTATGTCCATCTCCCTCCCTCCTTCCCTCCCTCCCTCCCTTTCTTCCTTCATTCCATCCTTCCTTCTGCTGGAGTTCAAAACCAAGGAACTTGTACTTGCTAGGCAAGTACTCTACCACTGAGCTACACTGTCAGCTTTTTCTATGATTATTAACTGGTTGTTTTCAGAACATTCTCCAAACTGACTTTAGTTATATGGAAGAAAATGATAAATGTCACCAAATAATAAAATAACACACCAAGATGTATTCTATTACTATTTTAAAATTTATTCGATATGATTTCATTATGTCACCCTTGTTTAATGAAAAGTTTATTGCCCATTGCAGTAAATTACTGATGATCATATAGCAGTGTGTCATAGTTATTCTTTGGTTATTGCTTATTACTGGTACATTGTATTTTAGGTTCACAAAAATTAGTTTTAGTTACATGATATTCTCTATTTATTTGATAATTTTGGTATCAAAGTCCTAGTTCCACAGAAGACATTTAGATAAATATTTTAGAAACTGAAACTTTAATGATTGCCTTCTAATATGTATCTTATAAAATATAGTTTGTATATAAGCTGAATAATATTAAGGTGTTAATCTAACAGCTTTTTCATTCTTTTTGGTAAGCAGACTAAGTCACTGAAATAGCCTAAAGTACATAGACCTGTATTTGACTCTGGTGGTGTATAGTCCTACACTGACTAGTGTTGTTGGTGTCTTGTGTTTGTATGGCATTGTTTATGTGGGAGCATGATTATTTATTAGGGATACTATAGAGCATGCAAAAAGGAAACGTGTAGATATTTTTATATTAAAAACATCAAAATGTTTTAGTAATTCTCTTTGCTTTGTTGGGATTATTTGAATAATAAAATATATCTAACATCATTTTAACCTTAATCTATCCATGGGGATATTGAAATTCTGAGTTCAGATTCATTTTAAGAGATGGATAAATTGGAACATGAGGTGATTGAAAAAAATGAAACAGATGATTTCTTTGAAAGTTTAGAAAGAAAATGAACGAAATATGTTGTATAGTAGGGGTAGTAGATAGGTAAATAATTTGTGTGTTCAATGAAAATTATCCCTTCAGTATAGAGAGGAACCTTCTATTTAAATAAAGAGAAAGAGAATTTGGGCTTAGCTGCCAGAAATATTTATTTTAAATTATGTATCTTTTTTACAGGACTAAAGTTAATAATGTAAACACCTTTTGGGGGGCAGTATATAAAACTATTAGGAATAAATGGTTTACTTCTGAAATGACCCTCTTCTTCATCCTTGTAATCTTGATAAATCTTGTAGAACTCTTAATTAAAGCAAGTTCTATGGCAGGGCTTGATTATCTATTTCCATTAACTGTTTCTACAATTATAATAGAAGTATTCTTTTATTTGGACATTATGTAAATTCACAGTTTAGATTCTGTATGACTTTATCTACTTAGTATAGATCATTTTATTGAGATCCTTACAGATACTAGAAACAACGCAGGATTTCTTTGATTTTCATGCCTGATTTGTGAGTCAGTTTATTAAGATTTTCCCTTCATATTCAGGCATGTGTAAAGGCCTAACAATTTGTGATGTTTTGTAGAATTATTATTTTTGGAACCATATGTATACATTGCCGGTTCATAAAATCTAAAAGTAAGTTAAATATATTAAATATTAAATGAAAAAAGTGGAAACAGCATTTAAGTATTGAAACCCGGAGTTACACATAATGCAAAATTTTAAAATTTGTCCAAAATGAGTATGTTTTAGGGCTTGAGAGTAGTTCAGTCACTTCTGCATCTTAGTGTTTCCTTTGCTATATATATTAGAGCAAGTTAATTTTTATTTTTTGCGTTTTGGTATTGAGGATTAAAAGGGGCTTTACCCTGAGCTGCTTCCCCAATCCTTTAAATTAAATTAATTAATTAATTAATTTTTAAATTGCTACCAGGGATTGAACTACTGAGTTACATTCCCACCCCTTTTTATTTTTTATTTTAAGACAAGGTCTCACTAAGTTGCTGAGGCTGGCCTTGAGCTTTCGATCCTCCCACCTCTGCCTCCCAATCCAGTGGGATTATAGGTGTGCACCACTGTGCCTGGCTACGATCAAGGGTTTTTTTTGTTTTGTTTTGTTTTGTATATTTATCATTTAGTAGCATAAGGTGACCACATCCTAGTAATGATAATGATAACAGTGACTAACAACCATCTTCACAACTCACCTGCCAGCTGAGGGGACCTTGTTGTCTCTTCCCTTTCCAAGTGAGGAAGTTGTTTCTTAACAGAGGCTTATTAACTGTCACACAGCTAGTAAGAGGTAGAGATGAAATTGGGAACAGGGTCTGATTCTAGTCTCATGTTCTTCATCACTTTTCTCCATTACTTTTTTGAAAAGTAAAATGTATCAAATATCATTTAAAAAACAAAAACAGGGGCCAGCTGCAGATGGCTATTATCCCAATGGCTCAGGAGGTTGAGGCAGAAGGATTGCAAGTTCAGAGCCAGTTTCAACAGAAGCAAGGTGCTAAGCAACTCAGTGAGACGTTGTCTCTAAATAAAATACAAAATAGGGATGGGGAGGTGGCTTACTGGCCAAGTGCTCCTGAGTTCAATCCCCGGTACCAAAAAACAAAAAGACCATATATTTGAAAACTATTGTGATAAAACTTTTTGCTTTGAATATCAGTAGATTTGGGAAATAACATATTTGGTATTTATAGTACTTGCTTTAACTCATATTTGCAAGTTAATGACTGTGGGTATTATAGATAGTTATAATGTGGATATTACAGAGTACCGACATAATATAGAAAAACTGCCTTAGATTCTTAAGCGTGTGCTTTAAAAACTAATTTTGTATTTTTTCTTCCTCAGTATAAGCCGGACCAAGTTGAGGGAGGTGGAACCAGCAGCATGCAGTGGAACCATGAAGGGGGAGCAGTGCACTAACAAAGCCCTTCCATTCACCAGACATTGTTTCCAACGTATCCTTCTAACTTGATCAAGTGTGCATGGAAAAGTTTTAACTCACTTGGAGCTGTGTACCTTTTTTTCCCCTGGTACGGGGAATCGAACCCAGAGTCTCCTGCATTTTTAGACAAGTGCTCTGCTGCAGATGATTACTGTGCTTCATTTTTAAATCAAGTGAATGACTTTTGAAATAGTAACTATTTAATTTTTGAAATTATTAAGTGACACCTAATTTTCCTAAAATCTTACAATTTTTATTCTGCTTATATTAGTTCAGCCCCCCCCACCCCGCCCCCCCAGCACACACACATTTTATTCTCATGACACTGAGCTGGGAAAGGTAGGAATCACAAGTGCATAAAATTGCACTATTCTTATCTTTTAGACAAAATTGAGATTCAGTTTCTAATTGTCTTAAGTTCAGAATCTGGATCAAAGTCAAGAGGACCAAATAACAACAAAATAAGCCAAACTGATAGGATCTCCTAGTGGCTAACACATAATTATATGTTATTAATAGAATTCTGATCCTACAGGTGGTTCCAGGTAGCTTATAAGGAGTAACTATATAACAATTATTGATGGAAAAATTAAATCAAAGTTTTAGTTTTTAGTCTTCCAAGATAGTTATACAGCTTTACAGTGTGCCTGATGCTATAAGGTTAATTTGCTGTTTTGGAGAATAATTTGAAAGGAAATAAGTTAACATATCACTGACTAGGCAAAAAGGTCTCTTAGGATTATATACTTAAGGAAAAAATTTTCCAAGGAGCTTTAGATTGTAGATAAAAATCTTATTAGCTCTTTTATTAAATATTTAGAACTGAGTAGCTTTTGTGGGCGGGGGGGGGGTACTGAGGAGTGAATCCAGGGGCACTTAACCACTGAGCCACATCCCTTGCCATTTTTTGTTTTCTGTTTAGAGACAGGGTCTCACTGAGTTTCTTAGTGCCTTGCTTTTGCTGAAGCTGGTTTTGAACTCTTGATCTTCCTGCCTCATACTCCCAAGCCAGTGAGCTTATAGGTGTGCGCCCCCACACCCAGCTATTTTTATTCTTGATAAATATCATAAGCAGAAAGTTTTTTCTTTTAAAATAAGTTTATTAAAAAAAATAGTTGTTACAGTGGAAATTTTAGGAGTGAAATGTGTTAAGAAGATGATCCTTCTCCAAATAACAAAGTGGTTCAGAATGGCCATAAAAGAGACTTGCACTAGGAGCTTATTAGCAAAATGGCTTCCTTCTCCTATAAATAATGATGGTCAATCCAACTATTAACATTTTACCATATCAGTATTTGGATTTGTACGTTAGGTTTTTACAGATAATAAAATTCATATTTATTAAACATAAGTAAGGGAAGCAGTGAATTATATAGATATTGAAAAATTAGCGTTTAAGAGTATTTTATTCCTAACTTTAAAAAAACGCAGATATCCTCTTGAACCGCTCTCAGCAGCTCTTCTCCAGTTGTACCGCCAAGTTTGCAGATGGACAGCAATGCTCTGTGCCAGTTTTTGACATTACACACCAGACACCTCTGTGTGAAGAACATGCCAAAAAAATGGTAAACTCATATTTTATTTTCTGTGACATAGCCTTTCAAACTTTTGATGACTATCTACAGTAGAAAATACTTTGTGACCTAGTACAAACTATGTGTATATATAAATCACTGACACAAGTTTTGTAAACAGTATTTTTCACCACCTGAAATTTTCTATTCTCTGACCAAAAGATTTTAAGAATGCTAAACATGACTCATTGAATTAATTTCAGACCCTCATTTTTAGAAACACTGTTTTACAAGATACTTGGTGTGGGTTGAGCATTCCTTAATTCAAAAATGTTAAATTCAAAAGGTTTTAAAATTCAAAGCCTTTTGAGTGCTGGCATGATTTTCAAAAATTTCAGATTTTGGAGTCTTTAAATTTTGGTTTCTGGATTAAGGATGTTTATCAATTAAATTTTATGCATATACTCCAAAGTCTGAAACACTTTTGCTCCTTAAGTTTTTGGATAAGTGATATTAAATCTGCAGCTAGTTAGATGAATTCATTTTGTTTATTATCTACCTCTATTCTATACCTCTCTTTTTTTTTAATATATACAAATATATTTTTAGGTGTAGATGGACACAATACCTTTATTTTATTTATTTGTTTTTATGTGGTGCTAAGAATCGAACCCAGTGCCTCACAAGTGCTAGGCAAGCGTTTTTCCACTGAGTTATAACCCCACTATACCTCTCTTTTCTTTAAGATATATTTTCTTAACATAGCAGATTTCCCAAACTCTTTCTTTGCCTGTTTTTCTTTAGGTTTTTGCTTTCTCATATACAGTTCTGTAAATGTCTTGAATATTTGCTAAGATTTTGACCAAATGCCAAGACTTTGTATAATTTGGTTTAATTTAGTTATTGCTTTGGTTAATGCTAGTCCCAGTTGATTCAGAATAATTTTGAGAACAGATAAGTTTGAATTTATGGAATTTTTTGAATTGTACATTAAAGTTCATTTTTTGCCTGGGGATGTAGCTCAGTGGTAGTGCACTTGCCTGTAAAGTGCAAGGCCATGGGTTTGATTCCCCAACAACACAGAAACAAAACAAAAAAAGTTCACTGATGTTATTTTCACCCATCAGATAATTACTTCACGAGATTATGCTAGGTTACCTTATGTACCAAAAAGTTGTCTGTCTGTAAGCACTTTCTGTTTTCATGGACATGTGGCCTGTGACCCTGTCTTTGCCACTAACTAAATGCATAACTAGGGACTGATGATTGAACCTTTCTGTACCTTGGGTTCCCTGATTGTAATTTACTGGCCTCATCAAGAACCTTATTTGTTTTGGGGTTCTTTTATGGATTGTATGTTTTGAAAATTTTAGATACTAACCTATATACATAAATGTTGGATTTTTTCCCCCTTTTTAATTAAAAATATTTAAAATTTGGGTATTTTTGTTTGTGTCTTCAGGCTACATCATGGGTAAAGAATAATTTCTGTATGCTTTTGGAACGACTTTTGTGGACTTTCATTGATGATTTTGCAGACTTTTGGTAACAGGAGCCCTGCAACTTTCAAACCACTGAAGAAGTTGCCAGCTTGAATTTTAAAGTTGTTTGATTCTAGAGTACTTAGATAGATAGATAGATAGATAGTTGGTTGGTTGTATATGGACAGCATGCCTTAATTTTATGTTTATTTTTATGTGGTGTTGAGGATCAAACCCAATGCCTCACATGTGCTAGGCACGCATTCTACCCATTTTACTGCTGGGCTACAACCCCAGCCCCTGTAGAAGCTTTTTTTTTTTTTTTTTTTTTAAGGTACAGGGGATTGAACTCAGGAGCACTTGGCCACTGAGCCACATCCCCAGCCCTATTTTAGAGACAGGGCCTCGCTGAGTTGCTTAGGACCTCACTAGGTTGCTGCAGCTAGTTTTGAACTCTAGATCCTCCTGCCTTAGCTTCCCAAATTGCTAGGGTTACAGGCGTGTGCCACCTTTTTATTGTCCTTTCCAGCATTAATTTGCCTTACATTATTTTGTTCATTGTCTGTATTCTCCTATAATTGCGAAAACTTCACAAGAGCAGAAACATTTTTGTTCATTGCATTTTCTTATGTGGGAATGTTGAATAAATTAATGGTTAGGCACATGGCTGGGAAGGGTGAAGATTCTGAAGTAAATTCAACCACTGAGGTGAAACAACCATTGGCAGGAGAAGCTTAGACCATAAGAGGTACAGATTGGTAGGCAGAAAAGATGTTCCAACAGGTTGGTCACACCTCAGTTGGTAAGTTAGCAAGTGCTTGGCCTGGCATACAAAAAGATACGGAAAGTTGCAAGTGAATAGTATTCCAGTACTCACTAAAGCTAGGCAAATGAATCATTGGCATTGGGAAATCCTCTGCCAAGTGGGGGCTCTAGCTCTCTGAAAGAACTAATTGGGAATGGCCAATAGTAAGAGCAAAACAAGATGTCTATCTTGAGTAGTTCTATGAGCATGATCAGTAAGGTCACAGTGTGTGTAGGCTAGGACAGTAGGTCAGGAGGCAGCAACCTGTACCAGGTGGATATTGGTAACTCACAAGTCAGACTTGTTAAATCTGGGGCTGGAGCTCTCTGACTTGATCTTACCTAAGATCTGTGCTCACATTGAAGATCTGCTGCTTAAAGTAGACACTGAGCTGAGTGCTGGTTGTTGGTAGTCACTCACTTTTATTAAATAGTGATCATCATAGAAGTAGACTTCAAGTGTTGGGCTCAAAAGAACCACAAGCCTAGGAAATACCTCTTTCAGAAAAAGGAAATTGTTTTTGTGACATAAAGAGTTTAATAATTTTTTTTGTCAAATATTTGGTATCAATAATCTTTTAGACTTCTTGAATTTATGCTTTAATTTTTATTTTTCCTGTTTTGAATGTTTTTAATGCTAGTGATAGTTATTCATCTTCAAATCTATTATCTATAAACTTTCTATATTCAGTTGTGGATTATTACTGAATTTGTAGAATCAAAGATGACATCAGTTATAAAAACTACTGTACTCAGAAAATATGTTGCCAATGATTCAATATTTTTATTTCACTTAGAATTTTTGTTTTAGACTTACTAAAAGAGCCTTTAAAAAACCTATTTAGATATGGATTTTTATGTTATATATCATTCCTCGTCTTAGCTATATTATTTGATGTTTGAAAGTCAGTATTTTGTTATTATGTATCATCATCCACTTTGTGGTTATTTCCCTTTCTCACTTAGAGTTGTAGTAAGTTAAGTTCTTCAGTAGTGAATATTTGCTTCTCTAACAATTTTATACTCTCCTATTCTTTGTGTCTTTCTGCATACACAAAATTTTTTTCTCCACAAGTTATACTAGCAGTGCATGTACTAATTCAAGTAATGCCAGCACAAAGAAGTATAACCGCTGTTGAGTATATAAAGGCAGGACCAACTGTAACGAACATTACCTGGTTGGCATATCATGTAAGATACCAACATTTACACTTTTCTATTACAGAGAGATTAAAATGTGCATTTTGAATTGATAAAATGTGATGTTAGTTTTGGTGACTGTAAGAAAGTACCAAAGATAAAGTAGCTTGTAATCAATATTTATTTCTCAGTTCTGGATGGTGCAGGCATGGTTGGGTTCTGGTCAGGTTCTTTTTTGGATTGTACCCTGCCAACCTCATTGTTGCTTTCTGAGGTCTCACATATTAAGGCCCTAATTCCATACATGGGGGCTCCACCTTCATGATTGAAATCCCACCTCCTAAAACCATCACATTGGGGGATTAGGATTCAACATCAGTTTGGGGATGAAACAGACTTTTAGTCTGTATCAGATGGTGGGCAGATGATAGAGTTGATGTTATTGACTGAAGAAAGCTAGTTATATCATCACTCTCTCTTTTGTCCTTGTAGGCTCTTACCCCCTTGCTTACTTACTTAATTTCAGCAGTTTTATGTACCTTTGTCCTCAGTGTCCATTCTCTCTGTCTCCCTGCCTGTGTAAATTATTTTAAAGGTCTTGACTGAGTCATTGATTTCCAGGTCTGTGTCTTCATCCCCTTTATTCCTGTGTGCCGGTAGTTTTCCCATAGCTCTCTAGACATCTATGTATCTCACCACATCAGGGGAGCTGTCATCCTATCTAGGGGCTGGAGGTGTAACTCAGAAGAGCTTAAGGCCCTGGGTTCTTATCCCCAGTAATGGGGGAAGAAAAAACCAAAACGCTGCAATGCCTGTTAAATAAAAGTTTAAAATCTTTAACAGGAAATTCAAAGAAATATGTACTCTGATTCCAAAATTCTTACAGCTTGCTTTTGTGTTTCATCTATGATCATACCTGGTTATTTACTGTACTTTTTCTCTTGTTTGTGCTATTTCCTTTAGGCAAGAATGATCTTTTCTATTATCCCACAATTTAAAATCTACTTACCTTTTAATCTCACAAACCAAAAATAATTAATTTTTCTTTTTTATACCTGTGGGAGGTGTTTACCTTATCATTATTTAATGTTCTCTGTACTGTATTTATGTAGATTTTTATCTGTGTTTTCACATACAAGAGTAAGTTCACATAAAACACAAAATTTTTCTTATGTTATAGTTCTTCCCATAATGTCTTTAAATGTGGGATGAACTATGTATATATGTTGAATTGATATGAATTGAATAATTACATAGGTATAAGTTTGTTTTAGGCATTATATAGAATATTAAGAACTTCAGGCTTTTTGAAGATGATTGTTAAAGTTTTTCCAGATAGTCTCAATTGTTTAAATACTAAATTTGTTTTAACTGCCACCTGGGAATATCACAAATTTTACATGATATTGCCATACGTGTATACATTATATGATGTTTGAATCAGGTTAAACTATCTTTATGGTAACACTTCCAGAGTCATTATTCTAGTTTTTTGAGCTGCACAGAATATTATTGTTATCTGTAGTCACCCTACTGTAGAGTAGCACACCAAGAGAGAGGGTGAGGTAGGGTTAATCAGTGAGTAGTCCTCAGTTTAAAAAAATATATATATATTTTTTTGTTTATTCCAAAGGATAATTTCTTGAGAGGAGATAACTCCCGTAAAGTTCAGCACCAGCAGCAGAGGAAACCCAGGAAAAAAACCAAGCCTCCTGCACTTACCAAAAAACATAAGAAGAAGAGAAGGCGTGGACCTCGTCGACCCCAAAAGCCCATCCCCCCAGCAGTCCCCCAAGGGAACCTCAGCATGCCCACCAGCGTCTCACTGCCAGTGGAGGCCTCTCAGATCCGGTGAGTAGTGGTCAGGACTTATTTTTCCTATTTCCTGAATGTTCTCAGAACATTTGTCTGTGTGAGTATCAGAATGTCGGCACTAAACTACAGAGCCATCCAGTGTGTCAGTCTGTACTTCTGTTTAGTCAAGTGCTCTACCATTGAGCTACGGCCCCGGCCCCAGCCTCAGCTTAGCCATTTTGAGGAATATATTTTACTAATTCTGGCTGAGTTTGGAGTGCACATTTTATCAGTATCTAAGCTTTAGATTATAGCAAAGAGAACAGATGCTGAAATTGCAAATTTAATTATACACTCAGAAATTGTTTTTTGGTCTTTTTTTTTTTTTGGAACTGGAGATTGAACCCAGGACTCAGAATGTGAAGTAAACACTTTTCCACTGAGCTACATTCCAGCCCAATACTCAGATTTTTTTTAAACAGAAATTCCATATACATAAGAAATATTTCATCAGAATTACGACATATTACTAATTTTGGGCATTTTGACAGGATGAGCTTCTGTTTCATTTTATTACATTTCAGTTTTACCTGTTTCTCTTTTGTGGTACTGTGGGTTAAACACAATGGCTCATGCTTGCTTGGCAGGCACTCTACCATGCAGTTACATCCCTAGCTCTTGTTTGTAAAATTTTATTTTTCATAGGTCTTGCTAAGTTGCCTAAGCTGACGCTGAACTTGCAATCCTCCTTACTCAGCTTCATGATTGGCTAGAATTATAGGTATGGGTCACCATGCCCAGCGTTTTACTTCATTTTTAAAATTATTACTCTGACCAAATTTGAAATTCTACTACAAAATATTAAGACATACTTGATACTCAATTGTGATCCATTCTACTAATCTGAAGTAAAAATATAGCTAGTAATAATTCTCTTATCTCAATTATGGGTAAAGATTAAAGAAATATGTGACGGTATATGGCAAGGTATATCTTTTTGCAGTGTATCTGCTTTGATTTCCTTCTCACAAAGTAAGGAAGGAGACAGTTTATATTAGAATTTCCCATGTTTGCATTGAATATATATGTATTAAAAAAAAAGTGTAGACGTTAGCATCTTCTTATGTGGGATAAACTTGAATTGTTGATTGGTATGGAGGTGAAGAGGGAGTGCTGGCACCAAATGCCCTGTCTTCCCAGGAGCCCATCCACGCCCGAGCTGAGTGCTGATGAGTTGCCGGATGACATTGCCAACGAGATCACCGACATTCCACATGATTTGGAATTGAACCAGGAGGACTTTTCAGACGTCCTGCCACGGTTACCTGATGACTTACAAGATTTTGATTTTTTTGAAGGTATGGTCAGTGTTTTAATTAAAGAAACTAACTTAAAAAAATGAGTTTGTAAGAAGAGAAATAGTTTTGAGATGTGTCTGAAATTTTCCTCAAGTAAAATATTTTTTCACTCTATAGACAGAAAATATAACACTGCCAAAGTTTTCACTCCTTTTCAGAAGTGGAGAGTAGGTAATTTTGTTTAACCATATTTTAGGTTTAGTAGATTTATATTGATAGCTAGATTTATAACTTTGTTTCTTTAAAATGAGTAATTTTACTTAATTTTTTGAACACAGACATTTAAATCACAAGTTTATTGAAGTCTTTTAGAACTTTCCCTGTTTTAATATCCCACCTTGTAATTCAATTAAAGTGAACTTTTCTAAAACAAAGTTTGCTTAATCCCATCAACTCCCCAGTGCTTTCAGGGGAAAACTTTTATGCTATTAAGATATTTTTTTCCCACTAAAAATTGAATATTTTCATGGTGATAAATCAAGTTCCTAACAATAGATTTTTTAAATTGATAGTGAAATCAAGTGTGTCCATGTGCTTCCATTTAATGAAAATCAATTAGAAATGAAAAAAGAATGAGGGGGAAGGATTAGGTAAACACCCCCAAAATGAACTGAGTGTTTAGTGTTGTGCTGAAATGTATGCATGAGCTTCTGTGTTCTGGTCTTATGTCTTCCCTCAAACTGGAAGAAGCTGGGCATAGACAAGGCAAGGAACAGTAGCTCTATGCAGCCTGTGTTTTCTATCATAATATAATAAATATAATTTTAGATAAAAACATGTACAACCAAATGGTTATAAAATTTTTAAATCGGTAACACTTAGAGTTCCTGAGAATTGAACATCTGATAAGATAGCCTTTGAGATTCAAGTTCTCGGGCAGCTGACCTTTCAGACCCATCCTGCAGATTAATAGTTTACTTTTTCCTTCCAGTGCAGTTCCTAGAAGCTTCCCTTTTCAAGAAGGACGTTCTTTGAATAATTTAAATGTATGAATGCTGTGGTATAGATGAGACCTACTTATTCTCAATGCCTTTTGTTGACTCAGGAAAGAACGGAGACCTCCTCCCGACGACCGAAGAGGCTGAGGAGCTTGAACGGGCCCTGCAGGCCGTAACTTCTCTCGAGTGCCTGAGTACCATTGGGGTACTTACCCAGTCAGACGGTGTACCAGTCCAGGAGTTGTCAGATAGAGGAATAGGGGTGTTCTCCACAGGTACTGGAGCTTCAGGAATCCAGTCCTTGAGCCGAGAAGTAAACACGGATCTAGGGGAGCTATTGAATGGGCGAATAGTACATGATAATTTTTCTAGTCTAGAGCTGGACGAGAACCTACTCCGTTCTGCTACCTTGTCTAACCCACCTACACCCCTGGCAGGGCAGATCCAGGGGCAGTTCTCTGCCCCAGCCAACGTTGGCCTTACTTCTGCCACTCTGATCAGCCAGAGTGCACTTGGGGAGAGAGCCTTCCCAGGACAGTTTCATGGACTTCATGATGGCAGCCATGCCTCCCAGAGGCCACATCCTGCCCAGCTGCTGAGCAAGGCAGACGACCTAATCACCTCACGACAGCAATACAGCAGTGATCATTCACACTCCTCGCCCCATGGAAGCCATTATGATAGTGAGCACGTGCCGTCTCCCTACAGTGACCATATCACCTCTCCCCACACGACATCTTACTCTGGTGATAATATGGCAGCTACCTTTTCAGCAGAGATGCCCATCATGGCGCAGCACTTGCTCCCAACCCAACTTGAGGTGCCACTTGGAGGAGTGGTAAACCCTAGAACTCACTGGGGTAATCTCCCTGTCAACCTTGGAGATCCCTCTCCATTTAGCAACCTTCTCGGCGCAGATGGACATCTTCTTTCCACTTCCCTATCCACGCCACCCACCACTTCGAACTCAGAGACCACACAGCCTGCCTTCGCCACCGTGACCCCCAGCAGCTCCAGTGTGCTTCCGGGGTTACCGCAGACCAGCTTCAGTGGCATGGGGCCTTCTGCTGAACTAATGGCCTCCACCTCTCCCAAGCAGCAACTCCCTCAGTTCAGCGCAGCCTTCGGCCACCAGCTGAGTTCTCACAGTGGCATTCCTAAGGACCTGCAGCCCAGCCACAGCTCTATAGCCCCTCCTACAGGCTTCACAGTAACAGGTGCCACAGCTACAAGTACCAATAATGCATCTTCTCCCTTTCCCTCCCCTAACTGAGCGTGTCTGTGTGTTTGCAGGCAGGTGGGGAACCCGGTGTTTTCTATCTTTGTTTCCTCTTTAGCACCCCTTCCCCCTTTTCCAAAAGAAGACTTAAAAATAGCAGATGGGAATTAGAGGGGCACCCCCTTCCCAGCTCAACAGGTGGCCAGGCAGTGGACCTTGCTGCAGTGTTCACATGTGCTCCTTAGCACTGGTGCTCATTCCCTCCTGGCAGGTCCACTCGGCCCCTGTGATTTCCTTGGTGGTTCAGCACATTGACTGGATAGGATTGGTTTTTAGCAGCAAGTCCTAGAAGTGGAAGATACCTCAGATTACCAGTGCCCTTTACTATTTCCTAGTATTCAGATCAGTGCTTTCCATTCTATAGCCAGGTTTTTACATAGGTGGTTCTAGATAGAATGATCCTATTAAGTGAGTTCCTGTGTAGGAGATAACTGGTGGTGTATAGAGGCAGGTTAAGGCTCTGACTCAGCAACAGCTGCCAGACACCACCCAGAGGCCAGGATGCCATTCCTAATTGTGATCATGGTTAACTAAAAAGAAAAAAAAAATGTTTTTTGACCACCTGTGAGTGTGTGTGCACCCATGTGTGTGTTTTGTGCAGTGCAGGAAGTAGCTGTCCCATTGGGTTGTTAATTTTTTTTTTTTAACCCCCGTAATGAGTATAAGGCTTTTTTCTCCTTTGTACATCTCACATCCTAGTAAGGTTGGTCATTCTGTCCCACTGAGTTAACTGAAGTTTCTTGAATAGGGAGGGGGGTGATCTGCCCATGTGAATAGCACAACCCTTTTCTGCTAAATGTTAGCCCATAAAGAAGTGAGACACCAAAAGCTGAATTCACATTAGTGATGGGGGCAGGGCGGGGGCGGGTGTCAAACAAGACTTGCCTGGAGTGACTGTGGGGTTGCTGAGGCCATTTTGCCTTTTCAGACCTGCACTTGTTTTTAACCCCTCACTCATGGGACACTTTTGCAAGATGTCATTGAAGAAAATATCTTGATGTGAAAAAGCAGGATAGGTCAGATAGATTTGAAAGATGAAATCTGTGAACTTCTTGATCCATCTTTTGCTTTTGACTTTTTCATGTTTACAGTAGTGATTCTTTGGTAAGATTTGTAAAATGTTGAAGACACTTGTAGAATCAGTGTACCAGTTGTGAAGTGATGTGTAATAACTGAAGGATACACATTTTAAAATTTCTTTCAAAGCAGAACATGGAGATCAGACATACATTTTACCTGCATTTGGTACTTTTAAAATAATTTTAAGAATCTAGGTTTAAGTAAATTTGGTAAAAGTTTTGGGAAATTCTTTTTAAGTATCAGGATTTTAGGGTAAAAAAATCATGTTGGATAGTTTAGTACGTTGGTGACTATGAAATAAATATGTGAGATTTCTTCTTGCCTGCCTTCCCTGCCCTCTGCCCCAGAGAAGGGTGGAGCTAGATTTTAAAGCATCTCTACTCCAATTTTGCTGAGAAGTTTCACTGTTCCTTAAGATACATTGGCTATTTATACCTGAGTCCAGCCTAATTTACATATATATTTTTTAAAAGATGAGCAGAGAGAACATATCTATTAGTGAAGTGGTACAATAATTCATTTATCAGGGAATATTTGATCTTAATTCCTTTCTAATAGGTAAAAGTTTGGACATATTTTCCTATTTCCTATATGTATTCTCTTTATGCCATGCTAGTTCTAACCAGGCCCTTCTTTTGGAAGCTTTTCTTTCTCTGCTTTTTAAAGGAATGATGATGATCAGCAAGCATTATGCAGATACCACGTGCCTGGGATTATGGAGGGGAAATGTCACGTGACTGTATGGAATCATGATATGCCCTATTTTGTATTTATTGAAGTTTCTTTGGGGGCCAAAAATATGTATGTAATATATTCACTTTTTTTTTAAATCATGTTAATTGATTGGAAGATTTATTTTTAATAGCTTTGCCTTTTTTGAAGATTGAAAAATTTCTAAATTATAAGTTATGTTTCAAAGCAAAATTATATTTGGTATCACCATAAATTTCTATTCTGAGTGGTGAGAACACATAATTTGCATATTTCTCGCCTGTGAACCTGTGTCAGTAAGCTTTTTTACTTTAGTGCACTGTAATGAAATATTAGTAGTTACCTCTGCTCAAGTCTCATTTAATTTGCTGTGCTATTTTCACATCCCATTGTCATCATCATTAGGTAACACTGAATTCCCATCAATTTCATTTTGTCTCTATTGTGTACTATCTAAAGGTTGTAGCGCAGTAGCATATGGACTTTTTATTAGCCCTTCTTGACAGCAAAGGGCAGGTCATGGGTAGGTAATTTGAACTATTTCTGGCTATTTGTCCCTCGTATTAGCTGCTTAAAAATCTTCAGTTATCAAAACTGAGTTTGCAGTAAGTTGCACATTTTATTGTTTGCAATTTTCTGTTTTATGTGCATTTAAAAGCCCTTCTCTGCTTTCTAGTTGGGAGGCATGAAAATGATCAGGAATGTTGCCAGTTACAGCTTCACACCAAAAACATTGAGGAAATTCACTTTAGATGCCCACCATGATAGCTGAGGAAAGGGCACTTTTAGAAAGTACCAGTGTAGGGTTGAATAATTAGCAAAAACAACTTTTCCTCTTTTCATCTACTTCAAAACAAATATCCAAGCTTGCAATTTGCTTTGCTGTTTCTTGTGAAGAGAGAAGAACATCTATAAGCCCAGAAATATCCATTATGTTTTGTTCTAGTTTTCAGAGCAGTTCTAGTCCTATTATTATTAGTAGGCTTGCTATTAATATGCAAAAAAAAGAAATGAAGTGTCTTTTAAAATTGGTGTCTTTTAAAATAACATTTGTGTTATCATAAGGCAATACTGGAATCAAAAACAAGTTTTATATAAGGTCCTATTTAGGTAGAAACTAGCTTTTATTCTAGTATTCAACGTATGAGATATGGTGGCAGAAGATTCACTCTGTTTCTGCAGTTCTTTGGGACCATTTATAAAGGCCAGTTAGCTTGTGTTACTGTGATTTAATTTTCAAAGTTGCTGCAGTTAATGGATGTGTTCTGTGCTCTGAGGATCTGATACTTATGACTGTGATCTATAGCATCTGAAGAAAAGACGGGCTTTCTCTCCTTTAACTGTTAATATTATTTTAATAAAAGTACTTAAGACGTTGTTTTTTCCTGTGTAAAAATGGCTTAGCAATGTTCATATCTCTGTAGGTTATGTAGCTAGTCAACAATTCAGGACAGTGAATAGCAATTATACTTTACCCACCAAGTGACAGACTATGCAATGGAAAATTTTTCTAATTATTGTCACATAGCTTACACAGCAAAGGATTATTTTCTCTAGTAAACCTACCGTGTGTAATATGCCTACTTTATAAATGACTTCCTGAGCAATTTCATGTTGGCAGGCAGTGTGTGCTGTGTCTAGTGTCCCTCTATGAGAAGATTATAATGTAATGAGAAGCAAATAGGTAGGTATGGAGATAAAGTTGGAAAGTGACTTTTTATTTTATTTTCATTAAAATTGGTGTTATTGTCTTTAGTGGCTTGAGATTAAAGAAAGCTAATACTTTATCTTTGCCAAATACTATTTATAAGATTTATTTCTTAAAGAAGCCCAATCTCTCAGCTGAAGTTAGAGATCACCATTTTCTTGACTAACACTAAAACTTTTCCTTATCAGGTCTTGTCTTCAAAACATGATTACAATCCACAGTGGCAAAGGCAGTTTTGGGATCAGGAAGGAAACTGTGTCCAAGCTACACACAGGTGCCCCTGTCCATCCCAGGTTCATCCTATATGGAAGAAGTTACATTTCCATTGACCTATAGCATGGAATTTTTATAAATTGGCATTAGAATTTGAGCACACAGGCCTAAATCCCTTTCTGTTGGTTTGCTGATCCTGTCTGGGATCCCTTCTGTGCCCTACACCATGGGAGGCTAGTGATGGTTGATCAGCTTCATCAGCAATATCTGTATGAGGTTATTCCTTCTTTTAAAAAATTTAGTTCAAAATGTTGTGGATTGGTATCTCAAAAAGATGAGGATATTAACACTAAACTAATTATTTAATCGTTTTAAAATTCATTAAAAATTTTTACGTGTCTAGTTTTCAGTTTCTTCATCCTTTCTTTTAAAATTCTATTAAATTCTGTTCTTAATCTGTCATATAGAGAATGACTGAATAGCGTGGTCTGCTAAATGGTCAACAGAACTCTCCAGCTTAATGAGGCAATTTAGAGGATTTCTTGGAAAAAAATTTATCATACTTCATTTGTATCTGTTTTATCACCAAAACCTACATTGTTCTAAAGATTTTTTTTCCTGACAGAAAGTATATTTCTAGGGGGATATATACATATATACCCATATGTATGTGTATACATGTATATACACATGGTGTATGCAGATATACACATGTGTATATATTAATTCAAGAATAAACATCTAGGACTGGGGTTGTAGCTCAGTGGTAGAATGTTTACCTTGCAAGTATGAGGCACTGGGTTCGGTCCTCAGCACCACATAAAAATAAATAAATTATAAAGAATAACAAATAGGCAAATATCGTGTCCGTCTACAATTAAATTTAATTTTCCCCCTCAATAAATTGAAAATGACTGAATCTTCACTAATGTTCTATACAAAAGTGAAACAATTTGATGATTTCTTAGTATCTTGGCCTTTATAAGCTTTCCTATATCATATTATAGAGTGAGCCAAAATCATATTTCGTAAATTAAAGTAAAATTTTAAATACCTGTGAAGAACATGTATTGATAATCTGCTAAGCATTTTCCATTGACCAGTGGTTAGAATGGAAAATATAAGCATATATGAATAGTTGTGTCTCTTTGATAACCAGCATTAATTAAAGCTGCAATGTGGTTTAAACTTAGGAAGCCTTTTTTTCACTCCAATTGTTTTTTGTTAACTTTTCTCTCTGTGCTTTGATACAGGATTAAGAAAAGATGTGTCATTTCAGACAGAGAGCAAATTTGGTATGACTTTCTTTACTCAGAGTTCCTGAATATCAGGAGTGTCTGGGTAGTTTGAAGAGCAGAGTTTTGGGTGATCTAAAGCTTAGTGTGACACAGTCCCATTAGAGAAAAATATGAATTCCTAGTAAGCAGTATTGGGCAGCACAGCTTTCCTTCTTCCCTTCTGCCTGCTTGCCTCTGCCCATCCCCGATACTAAAGTATGCACGTGCACACATACTCTGTACTGATCTTGGCCGAAGAGTAATAGAATCCTCTTCTTTCACTTTTTTTTTTTGTTGTTGTTGTTGTTTTTGTTTGTTTGTTTTTCTTAAGCTGGGGACCACTGAAGTAAGCTCTATATGCACCCAAAGTTCCCCATGGAAAAGTTTTCAACACGCAGTGCAGAAGGCTCCAATGCAGCTAAATGTCACGCCTTTGCTTTTACTTGGGGAATAGACTGATTTGCCCTGAAATGACTCCAACCTGCATCGTTAAGGTACAGTTGGCTCCAACGGATTAGTGTTGAAATGAAGAAAAGCTTGACACTTGCTGACATTGTTTCATCTGTTTGGAAGGGTTGAATCAGTTCCTCTCAACAGTGGCAGTTCTTTTCACTGTATAGTATTGAGTATGTCTCAGGGATTCCTTGTGGAAATTAGGGCAGTTTTTAAAAATAAGAAAACAATTTTAAAAGAAACTAAAGGTGACTCATCATTGAAGAGAGCGCAAGAAAGAGAAAACATTTGGTTTAGTAGCCCACGGTGTCTCGCCTAGGACTTCTTTCCTTTCTACTTCAGGCTCTCATCTCAGCTTCAGCATACAGAATCCTTTCCCATCATGCACAGCTTTAAAACTTTTATTTAAAAATTTCCTTCCCCCATGAGCTTTCAGAATACTTATTGTAGATTTTAAGAGAAAAGGTATATTAATTTATGCTATTAACATCACCTCATAAATTATAAGTTTTATACTAAAGCTGTATTGAGTGTAATGAATTATGTTGCCTATGTGTTTAATAGCTAAAAAAAATTATATATGAGCTTTTTTTTTTTCTTTTGACAAACTAGTAAGCACCTTTTTACACTGGATTTCTGCCGTGTCAAGGTGTATAGCTATCCTTTGCTACCTTGCAGATATATAAAATAAAAAGGATATCCTGGGGCCTCAAAATGTAGAACACCTTTAGACCATTTATTATTATTCATAGAACTGTTGAGAATCATGTTCTTTAGTAAATGATCTGTGGTTTACACTTAAGATGGCTAGAAGCTTAGTTACAGGGTAAATAGAAATACATAGATCAAGTAAAACTCCAACTACTGTAGCTGGAATTTGTAAACTAAGTTTTTAAGACCTCTTTTATTTCCTATGGATTTATTCTTTAATTTACAGTTTATTCTGTAAGTTGGGAAGTAAAATAGAGAAAATAAGTCTAGATGTTCTCAGTGTCTTATTCAGGAACTTTTTTATCCCTCCTCACTAAGGAATTCCCACTGTGACTTAAAAATAGAATTAAATTACTTGTGTGCATGTATATGTTTTTACACACATGCAAAAATATTCATTGAGGCACGTGTGTGAGAGAGATGAATGTGTGCTAATGTACAAATAGAGAAAGGTAACCGAATGTATTGTAGAAATATGATTTATTTAGTTGAGGATGTTAAGAGTTAACTTTCTCATTGTCTCTGTTGTATAAATATACCAAATTCTTCATTATGTTATATTATGTTAAAAGGCAAGCTCTGATATCATGTACGTTTTATTTTAACTTTTGGATTAACTTATGTTTTTTTAAGTGACATGAGAAACAGCAGATTCTAAGACCAGCCTCTCATTTTTTAACATAAAAGCAAGAGAGGGAGAGACAGATAGACAGACAGACCCAGACAGGATCTGTGTTTATCTATTGGGGTAATGGGACCAGAGATCTGTTGAACCTCTTTTATGTTACTAATAGTTTTCTTAATATTCTGAGTAATAAAATATTATTGATCATTGACGTTAAAAATTAAGGCCTTTTATAAAGAATTTTTTTTTGAAGGGGAGTTGTTGGGATCATTTCACCGTGCATATTTCAAAGCTGGGGTGATTTCAGTTATTTCCAAAGCATTTTTTAAAAAATTATTCAGTTGTACCATTAATTAGGAAGTTAGAGAGCCCCATCTTTTTGCTGTAGGAAAAATTATGCTACCCTTGACTTTTACCTGATTGGTGTGGAATTAAAAAACATTCCTTTGAGTTTTAGTTATCATTTTGCTATACACTCTTTACTGGAGTATCTGGTGATATAGAATAGTCAAAATTAGAGTTATTAAGTGTCCCAGTCATATTTACTTTTAATATTAAAAAACCATGTGCTTTGAGATATGTCAAAACAACTTCTGATACTGCATCCGTATTTGTAGTCCTCCTTGAAGCTTCATTGACTTCCTCTTGGATACAGTTAAGACCTAGGAAAGCTTTATATGTTGTTCTTTTACAGTTGTATCGTTATTTTTGTAGCATCTCCCAGTTCCATTCGCTCTTGCTTTTGGATTTTAATCTGCATTTCTTGTACATATGCATGCAAATGAAAGAAGGGAGTTTGTATTGGTGCCATTTCTCCCTTCAGTTGCTGGTTAATGGAATTTGCTAGAATAAATTCCCCCTGATTGAAGGGTAAAGACAGACCCTTTGTGTATATCTGTACAGAGATGTGTATATGGGATGTGGTGGCACTTTGCTGAATGTGAATTTGCCTTGTCAATGGAAAGACTGAAAAGTATTATGTTTATTTATACATTTGTATAAATCTATATATACACGTATGTATATGTGTGTGTATAGATAAAGCTATATACATATATTTCCCTAAAAAAAAAAAAGTGTGTGTATAATAGGTAACAGCCTTTGTTAAGCAGGATTATATATCTACAGAAAATTCTGGATTATTCTGTAAGCCAGAGGAGGTAACCTTCTAGAGTACATCATCTGAGCATACTAAAATGCAAGTCCTTTGGATTGTAGTCTTACTTAAGGCTGTCAGAAATGATGTCTAACTATTTTTACTCACAGTTCCACTCTCTTTATCGTCCCTACCTTCTGCTAGTTAATCTCTCATGAGTGAAAAGCAAAATCACACATCATTTTTTTTCCTCTATAATTATGTCCTTTCAAGCTAGAAGCATTTGACTTAAACATATTTCATTAACTTCTCAGTTGTTTCTTTTAAAGATATTTATTTCTGAATTTTGCCAGAAGATAGAAGTATTTTCTACAGTACTCTTGAGAATTGGTAGTCATCTTTGTCTCAAAAACAGGAAAAAAAAAAAAAAAAAAAGGCAACATTCAAACAAAACTAATTTAGAAAGTTTTACCTAGATAATTTCTGGTTATTTAACTTACTTTGAAAAAAACACATAAGTATTTTGATTTACTGTCAGCAAATAGTTTGATTTACTTTGTGATTGAATTATAAATTTACCATTTGCATTTTAAAGGAAAGCATACAAAATCACATGTAAGCCTCTTGAATTCTGTAACTCACTTTACTCATGTTGAAACTGCTTTAATTAATTCTGCCATATTTCCTTTTGACTTATCTCACAGTGTGACATTCTGTTTTAACTTTGCTGCAGCTCTCTAGAAAACTCGCATCCCTATATATTGTGCCTTTAAATCTCTTATGCACACACAGACAAAAGTGTATATATACATGTTGGAGCATGTGTACATACACTTTGTTAAAACTCACACAGTATGTGGGAGTGGACGTATAGATATTCAAAGGCAATGAAATGTTGCTCTCTAGATATATATGTATATAAATAGTGTTGATATAACTGTATATACACATGTATATGTATGAGTTTTAAATGGCAATCTTTTACATTTAGCAAAATGCTGCCCCTACTGGAATATTGTCGCTGCAATGGCAGTTGTATGTATGATTTAAAATACATTATCAAAAATTATTTAAAGAACATTTAAAAGTCTCATCTAAAGACATCCACACATTATTTATTTATCTTCCTTTTCCTTGTATTGTTATGTTTGTTTAACTGAAAGGGAGACCGTTTTAAAAAATGCCATCTATCCCATGAAAGACAAGATTCACTTGAAGAACTTTGTGCATTTTTTCCTCT